ACCTGTCAAAATGGGGTCCCTCCTAAGAGGTGGTCTCTTTAAAAAGGTGGTCTCTTTTGGCAATGTGGTCTCTCTTAAAAGATGGGCAGTTATGATAGGTATTCTTTCATTATACATGTTCTTACAGGTGTTCTCTCCTAACAAGTAGTCTATGTAGAAACAGGTTAGAAACAGGGGTTCTTATGATGAGTGTGCTCAGATGACAGGTGAGGTCTATCTGAAAAGGTAGGTTCTTAAAACAGGTGTTCCCTAATGACAGGTCAGGTGAGATCATTCTTAAAAGTTGGGTTCTTATGACAGATGTGCTTTCATTACCGGCATGGTCTCTCTTTTAAAATGTGGATTTTTCTGATAAGTGTGCTCTCAGGACAGGTATGTTCTCTCCAAACAGGTCTTCTCTAATGATAGACATTTTCTCACAACAGGTTTGGTCTCTTTTAAAAGGGTTCCATGGGTATTCTCTCATCACAGGTGTGACCTTTCTTCCATGATGGGTTCTTATGACAGTTGTTCTCTCAAAAGAGATATTCTCTCCTTGAAATATGTTCCCTCATGACAGGTGTTCTCTGATAACAATGGCTCTAGAAAACATAGTCTGTCCTGGTATCTGATGACAACTTTAATTGGGTTTTGAAAGCTGACAAAATTTAGCTACCTAACAAGAGGCCTTCATCAGGGTTTTTTTTTCAATACAAGTTTTACATTTCAATTCTAAACACATTTTGTAACTTTGCAAAAGTTAATGCTAGAAAATTCCATGATCCATATCTTTCTTAATATTTCTATCAACTTTGACCCCGTGTGTTAATAGTCAGCCATTCAGTTGCCCTCCATGAATGCCTGTATGTTGTGTATCCAACACTGACTGCCACTGAAACTATTTGAATTTGAAAAGAGATTTGGAGATCTGTGGTGATGTGATTGGATATCAAAGACCTGTCTGGGGGTTCACTGCAGCCTCATTACAGTAAATCAACCTAATGGGTGCAAAAAAAAACTATCTAGAATGACTGTACATCAAATCTCCCTGGCATTTATGTGGCTTAGTCAATATAAGCCTGGATATACGGCAGAGATATGAGGAATGTCCTGTTGGTTATGACAAATATGTTTATGATAATGAAATATTAGATGACTTACCACACACCACCACCCAGTATCTACTCTGATGCAGCCAGCCATTGATCCACTGTCAGCTGATTCTGATTTACAGCCCCTTATTTTATAGCTGTCATACTTTCAAACTGCTTTTCTGATTCTCTATCACTAACAATGAACAGTGATAAAAAGCTCCAGACACAGGCTATAAACATTTTAAATTTCAAAACTATCCTACTTAACAGTTGTACTGGATGTGTTGATGACATTAAGTTTGTTTTATGGCTGTGAATTTTAAAAGGACAAGGTAATGTTACGATAAACTTTCTTTACAATACCATCAAACTGGCTTCTTTGTTGCTATTTTGTCAATGTTTTAATCACATTAATTTTGTGACTGCCACTATTTGGGTTACAAAGATTTTAAAAGTATGAAATAAATTGTGTTTGCAGTAATCTAGTTAGAATGTGTCAATGTGACAACATATAAGTTTTCATGTGTCAATGTGATAACACTGATGTTTCTTGTGTCAATGTGACAACACTTAAGTTTCTTGTGTCAATGTGACAACACTGAAGTTTCATTTTTTCAATGTGACAACACTGACGTTTCTTGTGTCAATGTGACAACACTTAAATTTCTTGTGTCAATTTGACAACACTGACATTTCTTGTGTCAATGTGACAACACTTAAGTTTCTTGTGTCAATGTGACAACACAGAAGTTTCTTGTGTCAAAGTGACAACACTTAAGTTTCTTGTGTCAATGTGACAACACAGAAGTTTCATTTTTCAATGTGACAACACTGAAGTTTTCTTGTATCAATGTGACAACACTGAAATTTGCTTGTGTCAATGTGACAAAACATAGGCTTTCTTGTGTAAATGTGACAGAAATGTGACAACGTTGAAAATTTCCTCTGTTACCATGCTTTGATGTACTTTTATACAGCTTTAATATTTTAGAAGACTAACTGATAATCAAATGGAACCTTTGATAAGAAATTTGTAAAAAAGCGGAACTGTATAAGGATGACAGGTGATTTAACAGTCACCTATCATCTGAAAGTGAGCTCTAATTTAGATAACAAAGTAATTTTCTTAAATGTCTCTTTGTTATTTCCCAAACATTCCAACTTAAATCTCCATAATATAAAAATGACACTTGAATACTTTCTTAATTGTAACTCTGAATTTTATATATCACCAGCTTTCTATACGATCCATGTGTATTGGGTTACAGAACTATAAACAGACTAAGTACAAGTCAAGACATGCAATATAAACATGGATATGAAACAGAAGCCTTACAGCTCTATATCAGAGCCCATCATACCCAAAATGACTGTAAAAGATAATAGTTGTCTCAACCACCTGTTACATATGACGTCAGAAGCTGTGCTGAAACTAGTTTAATTTTGGAAACCACAAAATCAAAGAGAATACACCTAGTCAGACACTATGAGATAGCAGTGATACCTCTAACAGGACAGGAATAGTTGGTATCTAAGTTCATCAGTTATAACTGATTCCGGATATATACATTCCTAGCAAAGAATTTATATGAAAACCTATGATTTAGCTATATATTTAAAATAAACTGATTTGATATGATGTATAATTTGAAATTTAAATAATTTTTTTCCCTAAATTTCATGCTAAATTGATGATGCAACCCTCATCACTGATTAAATAAATTTATCAGATTAAGTAATTGATACATTAACTAAAGCAACTAAATTGAATGTTTAATCTTTTTTCAGCTCGTAAGATTTCAAAGATTTGTGATATCAGAGAAGAAGATGAGCAGGAACAAGAAGAAAAGCATGCTTGATCCTTTTTCACCTTTTACATGTCTGAAGATAAAATAACAATATTTTTGGTAACAAACCAGAAATGAATGGAGCACTAATCTACAATCTAATTACTGGTCTAACCTTGTAAGCTTGGATGTTTGGGCGTACCACATCCCCCACTAACACCACCCAACAATCCAGGCATCATGATTGAATCAAATGTTGTGCATATATATATCTATATACATTTTATCAAAGTCCAAGGGCCAAAACTCTTGAAAAAATCAGTTAACTTTAATGAAATATAAACATTACCTGCATTCTTTTCATATAAGGACATGCCAATCAAAATTTTAGTGCAATGTCTCCATCCAGCTCTAAGAAAATAAATTGAAAACTGATAATTTCTTGAAACTTTCTAAGTTCAATGAGTGTAACTTAGGAAAAAAGAAGCAGGCTGGAATGAAAGACAGAATGGTAGAATGACAGAAAGACATAATGATGGGGGACTTGGACATACTCTGCATATATGTATGATTATACTGGCATTTCATTAACAGTTACAAGTTTTCATAAAGAGTACAATATCTGGTGGATAAGCCAGTGGATCATTACATAATCATGACTTTTTTCTAGTAATGTTCATGGTGTTAGCTTAAAAGAACGTTGTTCACAAATGCTTCTATTGATCTTCTACTTATTGATATTCCTTGTTCTGACAAACTTTAATAGCTACATATGTATATTTCCATAATTCACAAACATCCCAACTGTACTCGTAATTGAAATTTTTACCTAGGTCACACACATTCCAATTGTTCTCCTTATATAAGTTTTTACCTAGTTCACAATCATCCCAATTGTTCTAGTAATTAAAGATTTTACCTAGTTCACACACATCCCAATTGTTCTCCTTATTAAAATTTTTACCTAGTTCAAAAACATCCCAATTGTTCTTCTAATTAAAGTTTTTATCTTGTTCACACAAATCCCAATTGTTCTAGTAATTAAAGTTTTACCTAGTTCACACAAGTCCCAATTGTTCTAGTAATTAAAGTTTTACCTTGTTCACACACACCCCAATTGTTCTTGTAAGTAAAGTTTTACCTAGTTCACACACACCCCAATTGTTCTTGTAAGTAAAGTTTTACTAGTTCACAAACATCCTAATTCTTCTGGTAATCAAAGTTTTACCTAGTTCACACACATCCCAATGGTTCTGGTATTAAAAGTTTATCCTTATTTGATCTATTCCTGCACTTATCCTAGTACTGTTAAAAGGTTCCAAACTAGAGATTTAATTATCACCTTACCTTACATCATAATATTTGATGTTTTGTGTTATTAAGTATTTGGTAGCTAAGAAAGAGCAACAATTCCTCATGAACATTTTCCACTCAAAGTTAACAAATCCAGTGACCCTTGAGGACATGATTTCAAATTAGAGGTCCCTGGCTGACCTAGCATGGAACACTTCATACACTGTCAATTACAGCTCACTGTTTGGATGTAGACATTTACAGATTACTTTAATCCAAACTTTGGCAGGTATTCATAAGGATACGGAGTCAGAGATTAGGCTCTAACACAGCATCGTTCACGTGGGAACAGTAACAATCTAACAATTAATTACAGAGTTACACAGACACAGTAATCAAATAATCATTTACAAACAATGTCAGCAAAATAAAAGCAATTTGGACCTTTAAAAGCACACATATAGTGCAAATAAATAACAAGAACTTAAAATAAATACATGTAGGTACATCCCTTCACACCAAACAAACACGCTAAAGATTTGTAACACTGTTGCAAACAAGCTAATGGGGAAACAGAATCACACATAAAATTATAGCAAAACAACAAAGCTTGACCAAGAACAAACATAGATGATTGAAAAAAAAATTGGAAAATACAAAAAGTTGCAAAAGAGTAACATAAACATGCAGAATGAAAGACCATGCAGAAAAAAACATAAAATAAAAAAAAAATAAACTGAATATTAACGGTTTACACAACAACATAAATTTCAAGGCTACAGGTTAATAATGGTCTGAAGTTAAACAATCGGGCACTGCAAAAGTCTGGGAACAAACATCTACTTACACATCACTGGCGGAAGAAAAGGTCAGCTCACAGATAGCCTCAATGGACATCCACTTGAGTGGGAGTCGTCCCCCTTTCCTGTTGATGTATACTGCATCATCATAGACAAAGCGAGCCAGGCCAAAGTCACCAATCTTCACAGTCTTGTCCCTACCGACCAGTATATTTCTGGCTGCCAAATCTCGATGGACAAACCCTTTTTGGGCAAGAAATTCCTATAAAGACACATCAATGAAACCATAAACTGGCACACAGATAAAAACTTATACCAGTAACATACTTTGTTCAGGACATTGACCATCCCACTATAGGCTAATCTTGAATATAGCCCGACTCGTAGGTAACCCTTTTACACCTGTAAATCATGTTATCATTATAGAAAAAGGATATGCAAATGGATAAGAATTTTTCAAAGTCTAACATCTATTGTTTATGTTGAACTTTGGTCAAGGTCTCTTTTGTGGTATATTGTAATCCTGATATATCTGAACATATTTTGTATAGCAGTAAAGAATTGTCATTTGTGAGACAATTCTATGGAAATGTGTAAAGAAGGATAACAAGGGAGATAACCCTGAAATTTGCAAGGGAGATTGTTAATCTACATCATATCTTTTGCCTGGTATCATTATCAGGTAATATAACCAACTAAAACACTTTAAAGGAAACATCAATAATTCTAACTTAGGACAACCATTACTGAAGGGTATCATCAGGCACCTCCCCCTCACTCCCCAACCCCTCCATCCCTCACTCCCCTACCCCTCCATCCCTTACACCCTCCATCCCTATACTCCCTGCTTATGTTTGGGCCAACAAGAGCTTATTTTGTAATTGTTGTAAAGTATGTGGAGTTCATGATTTAAATTTTTCCTTAAAAAGTTTAAGTGGACAACTTCAAAGTTATTATTACCGGTAATTATGTACAATAACAAGCATCAAAGCTTTGTCAGTTTTAATCCAAATTCAATTTTGGTGAATTGACTATTTGATGTTTAACTCCCCTACAAGCACTGGTGTGACTCAACTTGATTAGGTCTTGACATGAAAGGTGGATAAATTATCACTCGTTATGACCACTTTCATACAGCCTAATTCACAAAGAGTTCCATCATGCTCTTATACAAACCAGACATCAAACCAATTAACATCAGTAAATTTTCAGCAACAACACTGACCTTTGACCTTTGAACTTGACTGCAACAGAGCACAATCTTTTATGATATGATAATTTGAGTAACAATTCTTCATGTCCTGAAGTGTTACTATAGCCTGGCTAGCCTCAAACAGACAATGCTTATTAACCTTTGCTATCTAAAATCTTACCAATATTTTTAGAATGGTTTCCACTTATTTACACACCTGTGTAAGTTTCAAGATTGAAGAATAAAATCAGGTTTGTTAATGTAAATTTCCATTGTATGGAATCACTCTCTCTCTTTCAATGTTAAAGAGCTTCTCTATATATCAATAAGAAAGCTACTTCTCTAAATAAACATTTACATTTTATTTTTTTATGATGACATGTCCACGCCTTACACTGACAATAACCCCTTTCGTCCAGCAACTGGCACTGTCATTGTTGGAAGACACCTGCCTCATATATTTTTGCTATATTCATCAATGACAGAAAGCAAAAGCATTTTAGCATATTCATTTATTCGACAGAATTACTTTCCGATTTACTTAATTATTACATCTGAGAATAAAAATATCTGTTAAAATGAGAGATTTTAAATGTTATAATGATCAAATTTATTTACAAAAGCTCACAGACTCATTGTTATATCTGCTGAAGTTTGGGAATAAACTTCGAGTGAGAAAACTGATTATGTCATCAGGTGAAATTCAGCACAATATCAACATCAGGGAAACAAAGATTGACAAACAAACCGATGAAGCTTTGATAGTCTGATTTTGATAGTGTCCGGACAGAAAGATAAATGTTGATTGCCTCATCAATATCAATTTCTTAAGGATTGAAAAACATTCTTTTCCTCTATATAAAACAAATCCTTCATTTCTTTATCTTCTTCTGCCTCCATCACATTAACCCCTTCTTACACTGCCATCAATCCCCACCTCCTAAACAGATGTTCACCTATCCCCTAGGTAAACATTAGCCATCAATCCCCACCTCCTAAACAGATGTTCACCTATCCCCTAGGTAAACATTAGCCATCAATCCCCACCTCCTAAACAGATGTTCACCTATCCCCTAGGTAAACATTAGCCATCAATCCCCACCTCCTAAACAGATGTTCACCTATCCCCTAGGTAAACATTAGCCATCAATCCCCACCTCCTAAACAGATGTTCACCTATCCCCTAGGTAAACATTAGCCATCAATCCCCACCTCCTAAACAGATGTTCACCTATCCCCTAGGTAAACATTAGCCATCTCCTTCCCTCTAAAAACATGTTCACCTATCCCCTAGGTAAACATTAGCCATCCCCTTCCCTCCCAAACCATGTTCACCTATCCCCTAGGTAAACATTAGCCATCCCCTTCCCTCTAAAAACATGTTCACCTATCCCCTAGGTAAACATTAGCCATCCCCTTCCCTCTAAAAACATGTTCACCTATCCCCTAGGTAAACATTAGCCATCCCCTTCCCTCTAAAAACATGTTCACCTATCCCCTAGGTAAACATTAGCCATCCCCTTCCCTCTAAAAACATGTTCACCTATCCCCTAGGTAAACATTAGCCATCCCCTTCCCTCTAAAAACATGTTCACCTATCCCCTAGGTAAACATTAGCCATCCCCTTCCCTCTAAAAACATGTTCACCTATCCCCTAGGTAAACATTAGCCATCCCCTTCCCTCTAAAAACATGTTCACCTATCCCCTAGGTAAACATTAGCCATCCCCTTCCCTCTAAAATCATGTTCACCTATCCCCTAGGTAAACATTAGCCATCCCCTTCCCTCTAAAAACATGTTCACCTATCCCCTAGGTAAACATTAGCCATCCCCTTCCCTATCCCCTAGGTAAACATTAGCCATCCCCTTCCCTCTAAAAACATGTTCACCTATCCCCTAGGTAAACATTAGCCATCCCCTTCCCTCTAAAACCAGGTTCACCTATCCCCTAGGTAAACATTAGCCATCCCCTTCCCTCTAAAACCATGTTCACCTATCCCCTAGGTAAACATTAGCCATCCCCTTCCCTCTAAAACCTTGTTCACCTATCCCCTAGGTAAACATTAGCCATCCCCTTCCCTCTAAAACCATGTTCACCTATCCCCTAGGTAAACATTAGCCATCCCCTTCCCTCTAAAAACATGTTCACCTATCCCCTAGGTAAACATTAGCCATCCCCTTCCCTCTAAAAACATCCCCACATTAGCCATCCCCTTCCCTCTAAAACCATGTTCCCTATCCCCTAGGTAAACATTAGCCATCCCCTTCCCTCTAAAAACATGTTCACCTATCCCCTAGGTAAACATTAGCCATCCCCTTCCCTCTAAAAACATGTTCACCTATCCCCTAGGTAAACATTAGCCATCTCCTTCCCTCTAAAAACATGTTCACCTATCCCCTAGGTAAACATTAGCCATCTCCTTCCCTCTAAAATCATGTTCACCTATCCCCTAGGTAAACATTAGCCATCAATCCCCACCTCCTAAACAGATGTTCACCTATCCCCTAGGTAAACATTAGCCATCCCCTTCCCTCTAAAAACAGATGTTCACCTATCCCCTAGGTAAACATTAGCCATCCCCTTCCCTCTAAAAACATGTTCACCTATCCCCTAGGTAAACATTAGCCATCTCCTTCCCTCTAAAAACATGTTCACCTATCCCCTAGGTAAACATTAGCCATCCCCTTCCCTCTAAAACCAGGTTCACCTATCCCCTAGGTAAACATTAGCCATCCCCTTCCCTCTAAAAACATGTTCACCTATCCCCTAGGTAAACATTAGCCATCCCCTTCCCTCTAAAACCATGTTCACCTATCCCCTAGGTAAACATTAGCCATCCCCTTCCCTCTAAAACCATGTTCACCTATCCCCTAGGTAAACATTAGCCATCCCCTTCCCTCTAAAAACATGTTCACCTATCCCTTGAGTAAATATTAACCAGTTTCCTTCCCCTACACACAGGTTTACCTATCCCCTGGGTAAACATTAACCAGTCCCCTCCCCCTAAACACATGCTCATCTTTCCCCCTCTGTTAAAGTTACTTATCTCTCTCAAATCAACATAATTCAAAACAGACTGTTGATATTGATGAACAATACATCTACAAATTTACTTGTCCAGACAGTGAAAGGTATAAATAAAAAATGGCTTAGACATAAGATAAATATGTATTTCTATATCAATATATTATTCAATTTTGAGCCAAACAAAAACAGGATAATTGAATTTAGCCTAACGCTATTTGGGAGATTTCTTTCTGCTGAAGAAAATGTTTAACTGATTACAACTAACAGCTTGTCTTGTCAAATTCTTCCCATATCATGAGTGTTCAATTTAAATATTGTAGACTTATTTCAAAATAGATGCTAAAATGCTGACTGACGTCAGTTGCAGCGGGCAGCCTAATAACCAATGATAAAAACAAACATTTGCACTTCATCAATATGGCTGCAGGTCATATAAATATGGCAGGAAAGGTTATGAGGGGTAATTCTGATATCTATTTCTATGCATACCATCCATCTCTGCTTAAAAATAAATATGAGTGCTCAAATAAGTCTACTGTCTAGAAAAAGTTATCCAGCCATCACTAATCTGGTGTTGTTGATCAGAATCAACTAATCAATGTAACATTGTACTGTCTTATATCACAAGGTTGTCAGTATTTTATGTCACATGTAACAAGGTCACAGATACAGTTTGTCACATATCACAAGGTCACAGATATAGTATGTTACATGTCACAAGGTCACAGATACTGTATGTCATATATCACAAGGTCACAGATATAGTATATCACATATCACAAGGTCACAGATATAGTATGTTACATGTCACAAGGTCACAGATACAGTATGTCATATATCACAAGGTCACAGATATAGTATGTCATATATCACAAGGTCACAGATACAGTACCTCATGTCACAAGGTCACAGATATAGTATGTTATATATCACAAGGTCACAAATATAGTATGTCATACATCACAAGGTCACAGATATAGTATGTCATACATCACAAGGTCACAGATATAGTATGTCATATATCACAAGGTCACAGATACAG